TCTGGTGATTCCAGATTTACATGTATGTGTGCTGTTGTGAAAAATAAGACATTAGAGTTAAACCGAACTTTTCTAATTAACTAAAATAAGTTATCATTATAAGTATGCTTCTGAGCATATATAGCACATTACTTCATAAACTCATTCAGCAGTTGACCAAGTTGAGGCAGTTGCTTTCAGTGAGCAAAATGAGTTCACTTGAGTATTGTGTAAATCAATGTAGTCCATGTATTTTTACAGCAACATACTGTAAAATAACAGTACATTGCTGGCAACTGCAGCTGCCAGTATTTTACTGTTTTTTAACGGGACAATTTTTAACAGTGAACTGTTAACAAGCAGAATCACTGAAGGAAAGAAAAACACAAGCTAAAACCAAAGATGAAATCAACTGAGAAAAAAAAAAACTCTAAATAAAATAATAATCAATAAAAATAAAACAAATTATACAATAAAAAAATATATATTTTTCAACATCTTTAAAAAACTCATCACATTAAACAACAACTTATCATGGAGCTTCACCTATTACTGATTTTTGACTTGATTTCTGTCATGTGAACAAAAGCTCTTAATGAAATTTCCGTTGTTCATTTGAAGTCACCATGATGGAGGACAGAGTCTGCTTTAGTCAGGCTCTTCAACTTCTTACTATAAATATCTTTTATTTTGGCTGCTGTAGTTAGTGTTAATCACACTATTTCAACATATAGCATGGAAAGCCAAAAGAAAATTCAAGTGTCAGTCTGAAGAGATTGTTTATGATATCGTAGCCATCCTGTCCTGCTTGTTTTTAAATTCAATATCATATTAGTTATGTGTCTGAAATAAATAAAATACATAAATGAAACCACTGTAGCTCCAATAATATAAAATAAAAGCAATATTTACAATGGGAATGTTTGATCTATGGCAGAACTCAAAAACACACAGACATCAACAATTAGTCTTTGAATCTCAATAATGGTGACAAACAAAAAAATAAAAATCAAGTAAAAAAAACACTCAACTGAAATATCCCCTGCCAAAAACAACACAAAATACAGGAAAAGAAAGAGATTGTAAGAACATAAAGCTGCATAATTTATTCATGCTGCAATGCATGCTGGGAGCTTTGTACTATGCTGGCACCCAGCATGCATTGCGGCATGAACTATGCAGCTTTTTTTTTTTTAGCAACCACGGTTGAGGTTCATATCCTGATTCTTGATGCCTGTGTTTCATATAGAGCAAGTTGGAGCTTGAATGTTTAGTGCATGACACTCTAATTATTATTTGCATCCTAATTGTTTGTTGAATCTTCTATGAAGAGCAGCAGACTCCCAGTAGTATTGTCCCATGCAGTTTTAATACAACTATATTTGCATATTTTTATGAATCAACTTAAACACCTGAAATTAAATCTATAACATTTAAGCATAAACAGTGTAGTTTCTCTTGACATTTCTTGCTATAGCTGATGAGTTTAAGAAACACAGCTATAACAGTCACAATTGCACTAAGACATAAGAGTAAAGCTCAAATAAGCAGCCTCTGATCTCTATGATGGTGAGGTCAAATGAAATATTTTTAATAAAAAATATAAACCTCTGTTCATTGTCAAATATTCTTACAGAAATGAAGTCAAACTAATCAGTGAAGCTGCTTGTACTATTATTTAATGGAGTTGTTTAATCCTCTGTTTTAATTTAGCTGGTTTGGTGTGAGGCTGTGTCTGTAGTTTTATTTCTTCCTTCAATTTCTTATTCCTTCAGTGATTGTGCTTGTTAACAGCAGGTGTTCAACAGCAGGTGTCTGAATTCACTTATTTGTGGTCATTCACTCTGTCTAGTGGACTAAACTAATTGACCAATTTAAGGGCCAGGTGAATGAGGGTGTGGCGAGATTTCAGACACTCTGATTAGTTTCTCAAATACAAGGGTTTTCTACAAAGGTAGATACATGTTACTCTGTATGACAAGGAGGCAAATCAGCTTCTAAAGCCTAGAGGGTTATTTTACCTTTATCTAACTCTAGAATTTTAACACTTTACTCTGAATTACCACAACACTTGAAATTTAACACCAATGAATTTGCTGTGTATGCGCACGTTTAAGATTTGAGATAATAACATTGCCATGATAGTCAAAGAAATCAAAACATTATTTTCACCCCAACGCAATTTAATCGGGCACTGAAGGCTAATAAAGTAATTCTTATATTTGCTTTTTTACTCCTCACCATGTATCTTTTCTACAGCATAGTATTGTGTAAGAGCATGTCTATTACCAGAAAAACTAAATTAAAATTATATTTTAATTGAATACATCACATCACATACAGTAAGCTACGCCTACAGAACAGTCTGTTTAGCATTGTGAAAAGGCAAAGCTGAATATCTGTGGTTAAAGTGCCACCCAGCGGTCAAATGCTGCTCAAGTACCGCCGTCGCCGGGGTATGAATGGCGGCACAAGGAACACATTGAAGTAGTAACATCTGTATGTGTGTGCATCGACCTGCTCTTTAAAACATCTAGTATTCACAAATATTTATTAAAAAAATCATTATTGAATCCTAAATGTTCATTTTTGCATTGCACTACCGCAGTGAACAGTTTAAAGCATCTAGTATGTTTTTGACGTTTTTCCCTTGTCAGTTGAGAAGATCACATATGATAATTTGGCATATTTAAAATGGAAAAGGACAACAAGTCAATCGACAGCACTTTACACTGATTTCAAATCATATTGAAATGAGTTCAGTTTTACTGACCTCTCGATATTGTTCACACAGGTCAGGGACACGCAGCAACGCGAGTAAGAGAAAAGATCAAAGCAAAGCAAGACAATACTTTATTTACGTTATTCATTTTAATATATTGGTTGTAAATGAGCCTGGGTTGTTAAAACTATGTTTTTAGTTTTTAAAAACACTATGCTTTCTCAGCTATTAAACGCATCACTAAAAAATGTTGTATTGTTGTTGTCTGGTGAGTGGGCAATATGAAAAAGCTCCCCCGAGGTAAGAAGGAATGAAGGTATTGGTTTTTTTATTAATGTAGAAATTAATAATTTTAAAAATAATTTAACCCTTTAATTTATTTGTAAAAATATGTATTGATGAGCATCCTGTTTAGCCTATTGTTACAGCACATAGGATTATAGTACATTTATGATTTATTAATAATAAGATAAATAGATTAAATCATAAAAGAAAATGGCATTATAAAGTGTATTACGATTTTGTTTTTTCTACCCTATTTTATTTATTCTATTTTTTACGTTTATGGACTTAAAATTTTAATTTACATTATTTGTTACAATCTTTTGCCTTATTAATAAAACAACTTAAATGAAAAGTATTTGCATCAGTGCATGAAGCAGAAGGGAAAATAGAGAAGGAGTTAACAGCAGTAACGTCGTAATTTGTTTGGCATTATTTAAATGTAATGGCACTAAACTGCTATATAAATATATTTTGCATTCTACATTGGACTGAAAAAAAAAACAATAGATGTAAAACATTTTGTGAGTGACTTATGTAATTTTTTTAACCATATGTTCAAATCATACTGGGCTAAATGTGGACCAAATCCGACGGGCAAAAAAGACCACGTCGATATTTGGTCTATGTTTGGACCAAATCCGACGGACAAAACAAAGACCACGTCGATATTTGGTCTATGTTTGGACCAAATCCGACAGACAAAACAAAGACCACGTTGATATTTGGTCTATGTTTGGACCAAATCCGACGGACCAAATACAGACCAATTTTCGACATCGAAATTTGGGCTAAATAAAGTCTATGACGGGCCAACTTGATTTAGCCCAAAAAACGACGTCGAAATGATGTCTCGTGCTGGGTGGGTAAACACTGTTATTTTCTTCATAAAATCCATGTTAGCCATTTAGCTATGAAGCTAGATTCTTCGGGCAGATAGAAGCCCTGCCCATCACGCGAATCCGCGTCTGTTCTGATGTGAATTTGACACGCGAATGAAGCGGGGTTTGACGCGCGTATGAAGCAAGTAAACTCAAATGTTCACGCGGCTATTTACGCTCGATTTATCCGGGCGTTCCGCGTCTGGTGTGAACACAGCATGAGGATTACAAACATCTGACTGCCCATTTCACATTTACAACAGCTGATAAATATGCAGGAGCCAAATCATTAAACACTTCAAAACACACAACAAAGCTTTAAATTCAGCCCTATAATACACTGGCAACATATTTAGAGTCATGTAACAGGAATAATTCTGCACACACTGTTGATCAATCAGATCTCATCTAAGCTTTTTACTCATCATAGCACAGGTGCTGCTGATGATGTGACAATAAAAAAAAATATTTGATTTCTCTTCATAGTTATAATTAATCAGGACAGTAAATAGGGGCATTACATGACGAGCAGACATGTGTATGTGTGAATCTTTAAATTTTGCTTGTTTTGAGTTATTGAGGTATTAACGTCTCTTGGTTTACAACGATGAGGTCAAAGCAGATGGAGTTGTGTTAAATTCAGATTCAGCAGCAGTAGCAGCGCCACAGGAGTATTAACACCAACAAACCAAACAGATCACATTTAATACAGATATATACAGCATTACTGACGCTAGAAAACTAAAAGATGTGCAGTTCTGCTGGGTATCAGCTCATGTAGGAGTTTAGGTGAATGAGCAGCTGATAAATTAGTAATAATAGATTTCTATTGGGAAAAAAATAAGTAAAAGCACTAATCACAAGCAGCATTGATAATTACTGGCAAATACACATTTGGGACTCTTATAAATATTTAACAAGTAATTAAAGTTAAAACAATGAATAACTGGAAAGAAGAGGTCAGCTTTATAATATAACTTTAGAACACACAAGACTCATTAAGACATGATTCATTATGATTAAAGTGCATACAGGCAAATGTTGCACGTGTAAATGCAAAGAAAATGGTCTAATAAACTGTAAAAAAAAAAAAAAAAAAAAAAACGAAAAAAAAAAACACACATGTAACAAATAAACCTAATGAATATATTCTTGAATTATGCAGAAACTGGAAGATCTCAGGTATTTTAGGAGTCAATTATTCTGAGGCGGAGGCAGTGAAAGCAGTAATTTTATTTTGCATTAATCTAATTTTAAGAAAACTAAGCTAAACCATGAAGCCCTGATTTTACTCTCCCCAGTACAACAGGTGGCAGTATGCAGCTGTACTCTGCTCTGTAACTCAACACACAACTAGAAGAAAAGGTTATCCAGGTATGGCTTATTCTGTCTTCTCTGTATCCAGAGTTTATACTGCTTCAGGTACAATAACCATAATGAAATGTAAACCTTGCATGTGCTTTCATAATCCTGAAGCTGTTTTCACTCTTATCTGCTCTGTTTCGAGTGTTTGTGATGGATTATTCACTCAACTCATGATGTGGGGCTGCCTTCATAAGCGAAAGTGAAAGTGGCTTTTTTGTTTTTGTGTCTCCATTTTGAACAAAGAGAATCTATCATTTACAACGCAGAACATCTTTAAATATTTAACAGAGTAGATTCACAATGCTTACGCAGGACTTGAATGTAGTTACAGTTACATTTGTGATGTGACAAACTTCAGGATTTAAGTGTAGCAGCTGCTGATCTATTTCTGCATTCATTTGAATTATAAAGGCTGCTGGATGACTGTAGATTTGTGATTGTCAGTTTCTTCTAGAGTTTCTGCTGGAGATCAAACTCTTCATACCCATCATGGAGGATAAACACACTTCTGACGATCAGGATTTGTTTGCAGCATGCAGGTATTAGGCATAAACATTACATTTTTATAATATTATTTTTTACAAGAAATTATTTTGCTCTTAGTTGTTGTGGTTTTAATCTCAATCATGTAATTAAACACAGACATCCTGAATGTTTTTTTTTCTACAAACGATATAAGAAACATAAATCTGTTTAAAGAGTTTTAATTGATGAATTGTTGATTAATATCTGCGAGCCTCGGCTGAGTCATTTGGCGTTTCTGTAAGAAGTTTGCATGTTCTCCCCGTGTTTGCGTGGGTTTCCTCTGTGTGCTACGGTTTCCCCAACAGTCCAAAAACATGTGGTATAGGTGAATTGTGTAAGCTAAAATTGTCGGTAGTGTAATCCGCTAGGCCATCCGCTGCGTTAAAAACATATGCTGGATAAGTTGGTGGTTCATTCCGCTGTGGCGACCCCAGATTAATAAAGCAACTAAGCCCAAAAGAAAATGAATGAATGATTACAGTTTTTTTCAATTGTCTTGCCACAAATTTCAAAACCCAGATGTCAATTTTCAAAACTCTAGACACAAAACTCTAAACACTCACTGCTTTTGACACAGACTCTCCAGTGTTCAAAACTCTACATGCTCGGTTCATTTACTTAAAGAAGTCTTGCATTTGCAGGATAATTGGTTTACATAATCGTGTTATCGTACAAATACTACAGGAACACAACTTTAGATCACCAGCACACAAGATGCACATCGTTTCAATAAACAATCTTTAACAATCATGAACTATTTTTGTTTAAAATAAATGATACAGGATTCATTATGGTTTACACTTAAATGTAGAGGGAACGCTGCAGACAGTGGATACACTGAACTAGTTTTATTCATTCCATCATAATGTAGGTTTACTGTAATGTTTTTTCAAAGCACGTCCTCATAAAGAAAGCTGATATATGGCATGATATATGATAACATATGCAAATTACAATTGGATTCCACATACTGTATATAAAATGTCATATTAGTGAATAATTTGTTAAAATAGTACAAAAAAATCACTGTTTACATTGTTTTTAACCATATCATATGTTTGTGTGTGTGTGTGTGTGTGTGTGTGTTTGAGCATATGCAGCCATATGGATACCTATACACCTATACAAATTATAGGTAATATATTTGTAGAGGTAAATTATATAACATAATAGATTACATAACATATATGTACGTATTTGTAATTCTAATAGTTTAAAAAAATCGCAATATTTTGACATGTATAACATATTTTATATATATAAAATTCAAACGAACTATTATGTCACATATGTAATAGCATATATTTCTATATATCAGATTTCTATTTGGTATCTGTGTTTCCATTAGTCTGCTCTTATGGATTTGGTCACAGGTTCTCCTCTGCATCATTAGAAAGAACCTTCTGTCAATGTGAATCCAGGCCTGACATTGGTTTGCTGTGATTGGCCTTTCTTACATACATTTCATACATACAGTAATGTCAGATATGAAAACATTGTCTGTAAAAGTGGTACATGGAACAAAGAAAACATAAATATGGAATAAGGATGAATAAAGATGAAATCTATAGATAATGTAGTCCAGTTGGGTCATCTTCTGTGGTAACTGATGTCATTTGATCTATCCTAAAACTTTCATCATCTAAACATGTAATGTTGTACATCAGTTTCTACGCATCAAGAGTAATGCAACAGTTATTTGTCATTTTGAGTGCTTGTATCAGATAATAACATCATGTTAAGTAATTGGTTAAGGTAATGTTTGAAGTGCATTTTGAAATTGGACCAATTTGATGTTTAATTGTATTATATTGAAAAGGTGATCTTAGTTCAATGAACAAAGTATTTTTGACCTGTGTGTGTTGTATCCAAGCATTTGAAAAAAAGTTAAGAGTTTTGGAAATTGCAATTTTGGCAATGGTTGTGAATTTTGTGTCTAGAGTTTTGAAAATTGAAAAGAGAGTTCTGAAATTTGTGGCAAAACAATTGTAAAATACTGTAATATCTGGTTTGTCGACTCCAGTGTGTGCAGTGATGAACTTTAATCTCGTCTGTTTTAGCTCGGTTAACCAGAGGAGAACAGAAGCAGACCCCAGTTGTGTGTCTATGAAGAGTGACTGGTCTATGGATGAACCAATACATTTTAGGAGTAAAAACAAACGACCTGCTCTCAGGTAGATCATCACTGTTAACGTATTCTGTTTATTTCTGCAGCCTTTCCTTTTGCTCAGAATGTTTATTTTATATATATGCATATATATATATATATATATATATATATATATATATATATATATATATATATATATATATATATATATATATATATATATATATATATATATATATATATATATATATATATATATATATATATATATATATATAATCTTTGTTTAACTCTCACCTGTTCATTTATGCTATGATTTGGAAGATATGACTTTTTAACCCATTTACCCAAAAAAATGACACCACCAATAGCTTGATTAAAATATAAAATTTTACTGTAATGTACTGTAATGTGTAACATATATACTAATATTGCACTACTTAAATTACAAAAAATTTCTTAAAATATGTTGGATAGATAAAAACCTTTAGGGCTATAGAGATCTATTTATTTTGCTGGATAAGACACACTTATCCTAAGATTTTTTTTTATACATTTTGTAAATTAAATTTTATATGTACACTTTTTAAAATATTTAAAGCATAAGTTTCATTGTTTCAAATGTTATTTTTTGATGTTTTGATTAATTTCAGAAAAGATAAAAATTAAAAAGAAAAACAAAAGTGCCACAGCAATTTTATAGAAAAATGCCATCGTACATACACAAAAGACAGTCAATTTGTACATGAATATTGTAAAAAATTAACTTTAAATATTAATATCGGTAAATATAAATGAAAAAATGAATAGAAGGGAAGAGTGAACACTGCACAAAATTTTGACAATAACATTCTGAAAATTTTGTGAATATAAAACTAAAAAGTATTATTAAAACGTAATGTAGAAAGCACTGGACAATACATGGTAAAAATACACTGGACAGAATATTGGATATGAATACATACTGTGCATTGTGTGTTTGTGTCCAGATTGATCAACTGTAGCAGGTAGTTTAGAGTCTGAACTGGTGCAAAGCATGATGAGATGTGTAGTCCAGGTGAATGGCTATTGGAGTGTTATTATATCTGGAGTGGCCTCTAATGAGTCTAGCAGGCACTCCAGCTAATTCTTGTGACAGTAGCAGACCTGATCAGACACTCCTTCAGTCAAGAATTAGTTTGTGCTGAATTAAAATAACCAAACTCATATTTGGCTGTTAAAATTCTTTTAAAGGAGACTGAAGTTTTTCCTGCAAATTATTTCTCTGGTGTCTTTGTTTATTCAGTGTGAGAACAGGATCATGTGTGTCCAGCTCTGTGTCTCAAAAGAGTGACCGATTGGCAAATACTTTAATATTCATACTGAAGTTTTATTGTTCAAAAAACATTGATCTGTGTATAAAGATCTATGTATTTAGTTTTTACACATTATTAAGTGGATTATCAGTAGTATATCTAAAGTACACTCAATAGCTCAATAAATACAATAAGGGTGCTTTTACACCTAGCTTACTTTGGTTGAATTGCACTAGAGTTCGTTTTCCCTCATGGTGCTGTTCGTTTGGGCAGGTGTGAATGTAGCAATCGAGTGTGCACCAAAAGTGGACAAAAAAAAGCATACCGAGACCTACTTGAAGAGGTGGTCTTGGTACGCTTTCAAACTAATCCCGGAGCTAACCCTGATGAACCATTGGTAATATAACCGGAAGATGACTATGTCACAGTTTAGCTGAATTAATTCACGCCTCCTCCTAAAATCTTCGCTAATTGCAATTCATTAAAATATTGTTTTTAAGCCGCAGCAGCCCTTCATTCTCGAAATGTATAGTTTGTCTAAAGTGATGTATACAAACTATATAGTATACTATGACCTGGGAGACAATCAGCCAGTGTAGCAACATTTTGTGTCCGCTGGTTTGTTTACTTGTGGGAGTTCTATTGCTATTTTCCCCTATGTTAATTCTGGCCAATCGAAAAGCAGTTTAGGAAATACGTTCAATAACATCTGGCCAATGAGTGTTGTGGATTTTGTCACATGACTGCATTTTGGTTCTTTTCAACTGGTTCAGACCAAAGCAATTAGTGTGGTGTGAAAGGGACCCAAAACGGCAAAAAATGCTACAATGTATCATTTGTTTCCCTTGGTCCGGACCAAATGAATTAAACCACAGATGTGAAAGCACCCTGAAAACAGCACTTAAAGGAACAATAAGAAATTTTCCATTAAAATGATCAGAAACACTTAAAAATTTATTATATATTTTGCTCAATTATGTACATTAGTTATCTCAAATGTGTGGAAGAGTGTTAAAATGCAGAGAAATAAGCAGTTTTAACTAGTGTCATGGAGTGTGTCTGTGTTTAGCCTGATCTGGGGTCAGAATCTGGATTGCAGGTAATAAAGGGATGCCAGGAATGGAGAGATAATGGAGGACGTACTTGATTATTTATAGCAGGACTGTCGAAGTAATTTTCCAACTCATGGTGAGCGGAAATGGCCACAACCTAAATCTTCATTGTGGAGGGCAACAGCCCACCCTCCAGCTTAACCTGAAAGAAGGAAAGCATGACATCATGTCAAGTTCGGGGGATGTCAGGGAAGGGCTGTTGCTAGGAGAGTGAGTTCTCTGAAACAGGTCCTATTGCATGCCAGCTATGCAAGATTTGCATCAGCAATCTCATGTGTTATTCAGCCTCAGAGCATTCCCCTTTTCAGGCGGACATGTGTCTTCCTTGGCAAACTTCTCACCTGCATGACCTGCTGTTGTGTTTTGCTTACATGCTCTCATAGTGTCTAAGACACACATCAAAATTTCCGTCCTGAAGGGGAACGTCCTGGTTATGTCCTTAACCCTGAAGGAAGGAATGAAAACGTGTGTCTTCTACGCCACATTAGCTGGGTCTCCAGCTCATAGCTGAGTGTTTAGCTTCTTCAGCGATTAATGTCTGAAGCACTCTCCTGCAAATGCTGATGACTCTAATAATTATTAATCAACTCATATGTGTTTATTGGCCTATTTTCTGTTATTCCAAGTTATTGGTCATGTAGTGATCTCCCATTATTCTGTTCATAGCTAATACAATCTGTATATTCTGTTCATAGCTAATACAACCTATATATAATGTTCATAGTACATCCATCTTTAAATATCACCATAGTTTTTCTATAACTGCACTTTATAACTTATACCTGTATCCTGCACTTGCTGCTATTGCACTGCTGGTTAGACGTAAACCTAATTTCGTTGCCTTGTACTTGTACATGTGTTATGAGAATAAAGTTAAATCTAATCTTGAATCTAATCTAATTAAAGTCTAATGCTGCACTCACACCAGACACGAAAGAAGCATTAATCGCGGGTGATTTCCATGTTAAGTCAATGCAAAGATGCAAATAGACATCATGAGGCACAATAGGTGTGAATGACGGGATTCCTGCAAATAAATTGGTGCGAGTTGAGCCTTTTGCACAATTTATATTCTTAACACGCGTATCGCTCGAGTTGAAAATCCGAATTTCAGCAGATATTCGCGCCGCATTGACCAATCAGGAGCTTGCTCTTGTAAGGGCGTGATTATAATGTAGTAGATGTTGTTGGTGTCCTGGTGAAAAATACTTTGGCCAACACCAGATAACAGATCATTAAACTGCGCTCGGCTCAGTCTGAAGCACCGCTGAGAGCCTCTATCATCCAGGTATGGAGATTTGATAAAATCACGAAGCTGAGAGCACCTCCAAATGGATCTAGGGAACTCAGACACGACTCCAAATGAATCCACAATGTTTTTCAGCCTTCCTTAAGCACTTGAACACACTACTCTCTCAATAAAATCCATTTTAGCCATTTAGCAATAAAGCTAGAGTCACTGGGCTGACAGAAGTGAATTTGACGTGCAAATAAGGCGAGTTAACTCAATTTTCACTCGTCTATTTAAGAGCAGCTATAGCGATTTGTCCGTGCATGCCACATCTGGTGTGAACACAGCTTTAGACACACATCTCTGTTCCTACCTTCAGAAAACATGGTTTATAGGCGTAACTAGGTTGATCTATGCATGATTCTTTCTATGATTCTTTTATCTATGATTCTTTTTGTAAACAAAAATTACATTGCATTATTACAAATGATAGCAAAGTGAAATGTAAACTGGCCTTTACTCCCACATGAAACAATACTGCAGTAAATTATAGAAAACATTTTTTTTAATACTCTAGTATTTTTTGACCAAAGTATATTAAAGTTCTTAAATCTGTTGTGGTGATCCTATAGTTGTTATGGCAGGGGTGGCCAACCCTGTTCCTGGAGAGCCACCTTCCTGCAGATTTTAGTTGCAACCCATCTCAAACACACCTGCCTGTAATTATCACGTAGTGTTCAGGTCCTAATTAATTGGTTCAGGTGGGTTGTGATATGGGTAGCAACTGAAATCTGCATGAAGGTGGCTCTCCAGGAACAGGGTTGGCCTACCCTGTGCTATGGTAACACAACATACATTTCTACAATAGGATATGTTTATATACACCACTGTTTAATGTAGTAAACACTAAAGTATACATTATTACTTATTACAGTTTATCACATCACTATATTTATAGTATGATTTAGTGTTCATTAACAAAGGGTTTATTTTATTTTCAAGATCTGAGGTGAACTATCAACTGCTACTTTCAGTAGTGTGGTACATGTAAAATGCCATTCAAACTCACATTAATAGCATTTCACACTGAATAAAGCACATGAGGTTTACCTGAGGTGATCATTGTCCTAGTTTTCTGTTGTTCACCTGTGAGAAATAGAAGCTGTTTCTATTATATAAATTTGAGGTGTTGGTTATGACAAAAACTCCTTTTAATATGGATAATAGGGATGTAACGGTATCAGAATTTTACGGTAATACCTCGGTGTGAATGTCACGGTACGGTATTTATTGAATCATTTACAGGAAAAAACAAAACTTATGAAAATATTCCAAAAAAGTGCCAAAAGTGTCAATGACATACAAATTAGCCATCTATCTGTAAGCTTTGAAACAGGAACTTCAATTTTAATAACAA